AAGAATTTCAACCATGGCACACTGGCCGGCACACTATGATCATCGCTGCTGCTGTTGCCAATCGATTGTTCGATGAATTTCTTTTCTTCGGGCGAAATCAATTTAGAATCCGCTGGGGAACCGGCACCCCAAAAGAACCAAATTACCGCCCATACAATGCCAATGCCACCCGAAAAGTAATAGATGCTTGGCCAACCCATCGATGAGGAAGCGAGCACACCGCTTGTCGCTATCATAACTACCGTACCGAATTGCGAGCCCGAATAACAATAGGTGGTAAAGTGACCACGGTCCTCGATGGGAGCCCATTGCGATAGTAGTGTGTGCGTCGATGGAAAGACCATGCCCTGACAGAGACCCTGTGCAACACGAAGTGCGCATACTAACTGCCAATCGCCAATCCTCGCGCAAATGGGTGTGAGTACAGCCAGTATGGAACAGATAAGAACGCCAAAGAGCAGCGTAGTTTTACCGCCAAATTTGCGCGCTAAAGCTCCACCCGGCACCTGTGTTATGACATAGCCCCAGAAGAAACTGCTGAGTAAAAGGGATTTTGTCTTTTCATTCCAGCTGAACTCCTGCAAAGGTCAGAGAGAGGGAGTTTAGTTCATTTCATTGTAAAATAGGTATGTGTACATTAGGGTGCATCACTCTGCATGCGAAAAAAATCGATATTGTTATTCCATCAGAATTATAAAATGTATTGTTTTTTAAGATTTTCGCCAAAATATTTCCGAAAAAATTTAGTAAGATTTACGTGAACTGGACTAATTTGAAAATACTTCCAAGGATATAGGTCGTAAGATAGTTTTTTCGAAAAATCTTCCCAGATGATAAAAAAGTTGAATATTAAAGCTCTGCGTAAACATTTTGAAAATTTCTTACAACTAAAAAATACCTAATAAGAGTTTTGGATGTATTTTCAAATTGGTCTAGCTCACTTAAATCTTAATCTGTTACCGAAATGTTTTGGAGGAAGTCCAAAAAAAACATAAATTGTATTATTTCGTTCGAAAAACCCGCACTTTTTTTTGAAGCACCCTTTTATACGTACATATGGAATACTCACCTCGAAATCTGGATTGGCGGATTCTTTGTCAGTCATAGCAACAATGGCCATCGATAAGTTGACACGCAACGAATAGGCAACAGAGAGGGCGAGGAACAGAAGGAAGGTTTCAAAATGACGAATGCCCATACCCAGGCAACCTAAAAGCGGAGAAGATTTGAAGAAAAAATTATTGGAATGTTATTTTTATTGCATTATGTAAACAATAAAATGAAATAAAATAGAAGAAAATCAAATTAAAGTAAACAAAGAAAAATATAATAAAATAAGGTGAAAATTATTAAAAAAAATAATGATATTAAAGAAAATAAATTAAAATATGTAAAATTGAATACAATGTAGAAAAATACATTCAAAGTGAAATATAAGTGAATTGAATCAAACTAGAGAAAAGAAAACAAAGTAGAGTAATTTAAAATATGACTAAATTATTAAAATATAGAAATACTAGCCGGCCACATATGCGCGAGGCTTCGCCACACGCTGAATGTGTACATATTAAATAAGATGCGATTGACAACTAAACACTTTGCGACCCTACTAAAAAATAATATATAATTGCCCATTTGGAGGCCAAGCTCTTTCATTTGATACCTCATTTCTGGTAATCTAACGAACAGCCCACAATTTTTAATTTTTCGGACAGGTTGCTACCCTCTTCGGAAAATAAAACCTTACTGCAAATCGGAAGGTCAGACCATTTTTTTTACACCTCATTTTTTTTAAATGGAATGAAATGTGCAAATCTAATGTGATTAAAAAAATACCCTCGAGTATTATACATACATAATTTTTAAATAGGTGGGGGCACCACCCACGCAAACAACAAAATTAAAACTTATTGCACATCAGAGACCATATCCTTTCACTTGGTACCTCAGTTTTTACAAAAAAAAATAGATCTTATAATTTTAAAAAAGTGGCAACCCTACTTATAAAGGAATACATTATTGAACATCTAAAAGCCGAGCCCTTTTATTTGACACCTCAATTTTGGTAATCCAGCGAACAATGGGGATCTATATTGAGACACTATACTAAGGATAAGGACTAAAGATAATATTCCTATCCATACACATTATACTTAAAAAGTCTCGTATAAATCCGTTCTGTAGTTTTTGAGATTAGCGTGGATCAAAATATCTTGACTTTCCTTTATGCTATGTATAGAAGACAGTAACTTTTAAAGAGGTTGCAGCCCTATTAACAAATGAAGCTTTTGTACATGCGAAGCCAGGCCCTTTTATTTGGTATCTTATTTTGTTATCCAACGAACGGCGAAAATCGTTAACCTTTTTAAAAGGTGGCAACCCTACTCAGTAAAATAATACATTATTGCACATCTAGAGGCTAAGTCCTTTCATTTGACAGTGACGGTGCAGAACTGATGCCCACGATTATTATGATCAAATATAGTAATTTTATTAACAGGTGGCAATCCCATTCACAAAAAAATAACATTAGTGCTTTTCTAGAGGCCAATCCGTTTCATTTGACATTTTATCTTTTGTAATCCAACGAACGGTGCGGATCTTACAGATTTTTAGACAGGTGGCAACCCTATTTAAATTCTAAGTAAAAAAGGTCACTATCCTGTCGGTACAGTGTATATTAGAGGAAATCTCGTCAAACTCCGTTCAGTAGTTTTCGAGATTACCGCGTACAAAGAATCTCGACTTTCCTTTATACTATGTATAGATAGTAAAATGATTTAAAATAAAGAACATACAAAATTAAAAATACAACAAAATCAAATAGATCAAATTCAACTAAACCAACTTAAATAAAAAAGCAAAAAAGTAAACTATATTAATTATATATGTACATTATTTAATTATATGCATAAAATTCAACAAAATATAACAAAGCATGAAATAAAACAAAAAGTAAAAAAAAAATAATTTAATTAAATAAACTAAAATGCAATCACAAAAAAAAAACTAATAAAAAATAAAAATAAAACTTAAATAAAAAGTATGAAATGAAATAAATTAAGCAAACTGACATCAAATAAATAAAACTAAATAAAGCATAACTAAAGTAAAGTAAAATAAAATATAATGAAATGAAATAAAATAAATAGAAAAAAATTAATTAAATAAAAAGAAATAGTAAAATAAAATTAAACTAAATATAATGTAATAAAACAAAACAAAATTAAACTAAATTAAATTAAATTAAATAACATTAGCTCTAATACAGTAAAATGAAAAAATAAAATAAAATAATATAAAGTCAAATATAATAGAGTCAAATAAGTTAATTGTAAAAACAAATATTTTTAAGGCAAGCTTCCTAACTGTGAACGAAATCAGACCATAAATACCAAATATATCGACTCGTGCGCCACCTGTCGGTAAAATTTTTATTGGAGCTATTCCTTTTCATGCAGTTAATATACGTTCTAAATATCAATCAAATAGGACTATAAATACGAGATTTTCAAATATCTCGACTCCTGCGCCACCTATCGGATATCAAAACTGATATGAGTACCCTTTAACAAAGGCTGGGACAGTATTTGTGATTATTTGATGTGTGATTTATGTGCTTAGAGACTGTTTTCGGCTTTATAAAAAATTGGAAATTTTGCACTAATATACCTTTTATGAAAGTCCGGAATCTGAATGCGCAGTACTCTGAACCGATGTCAAAAAAATAAGCTCAACACTTTAGCATAGATGCTATTTTTAGTATTAAGTAAATCAATCAAAAAGAACTGCAACAGAGGCTGTTGAAATCTTCCACTGACTACAGATTTTTTTTTTTTTTTTTTTTACAATGAATTAAAATAGTAAAGTGACGAGCATACACAAGCCAAGGCCCTAGANATACTCTGAACCGATGTCAAAAAAATAAGCTCAACAGTTTAGCATAGATGCTATTTTTAGTTTAAGTAAATCAATCAAAAAGAACTGCAACAGAGGCTGTTGAAATCTTCCACTGACTACAGATTTTTTTTTTTTTTTTTACAATGAATTAAAATAGTAAAGTGACGAGCATACACAAGCCAAGGCCCTAGAACTGATTGTGTGCTCTGTGAATTCTCTGTGGATAAGCTTGTGAGTGTACATATTTCACTTTAGTAACTTAATTATGGCTCGCATAAAGTGCATGACTAACTACCAGTAGAAGTAAGTTCAATGAAATACCTCAGAGCGAACTTGAGTGATAACTCAANGGTGTACATATTTCACTTTAGTAACTTAATTATGGCTCGCATAAAGTGCATGACTGACTACCAGTAGAGAAGTAAGTTCAATGAAATACCTCAGAGCGAACTTGAGTGATAACTCAAGCTTGTTGATAGGAGGCAAACTCGAAAATTCAAACGTGTCTTTCTGAGTTTAATATTTTATAGGTATTATTATATTGAAATTTTTTTCTCGTTGAACTTAGAAAAATAAAAAAAAACATACATACATGCATATATTTAAAACAATTAGATTAGGCTTTTTTTCTTTTCGGGAAGCAATAAACTTAAAAGATCATAAGGTGTTCAATTTATCAGTTTGAGCTGGCGCTGCGGAATTTTGTTCATGGGAAACTTAATTTTAAGAGGGTTTTTCAGTCCAGCTAATGCAAATCTTACTACTCTTTCGAAATATTTTGGCTGAAGTCTTAAAAGAAATTACCACCGTGATAAAAAAGTTCTTCCAGTATACACCCAGTTTTTAATGAAGCAATCAGCTAACATGTTGACAGGTTAAAAATTAAAAAATATACAAAACAACTTTAAAGTATTTTCCAAGTACTCTAGTCACGAATTGCATTGAACTGGGGAAAAGCTATTTTGCTGAGAGTTATAAAGTTTTACCGAATTTTATGAGAAATTATAAACTTTTTTTGTGCGGCATCCTAATATTCAGTGGTTACCAGGCAAACCATTTTTTCACAGTATTCTGGGTTGTAGAGAAAGTTTATATAATGAATAAAGATCTCATCCGATATTTTGCTGAATTTTCTAAAATAAAATAAACTGTGCAAACTTCGATTCTTTTACGAAATTGAATTCTTTTAATTTTTCTTTCTCTTTTAATTTATAAACTTTCGTGGATGTCTTTATTTGAGCGTAGAGCAAAATAAAAGGGTGTACCATAAAAAAATTTGAATGTTGAATCTTTTAAGGACCACTCTAATGTACAAAACTATCTACGTATTTATATTGCCTAGAAGTTGGTATTGGCTAAAAGTGAAAAGGCAAATATATGTACATAACTAAAAACAATTGACTTCAGAGGTAATCGGTCACACCTTATTACCTAATTATGTATTCAAACGGGTGCATATGTAATAGATGCCAATATTTGCATTTTAAACTGGTGTAAAACGCATGTAACATGTGACAGTAATGTAAAAAAGCATCGTGACTAATATACCCAGTAGAATAATATTTACATTTGTATTAATGCAGTAAATTAATTGGTTTGAACTTAGCGCCACTGACGGATGAAATGAAAATTTCGTACTCTTAAATTATATTCTAGATTTTTACTCAGTGCAATTCCCTTGTTTTCTATGTCTAGTACGTCACCCACAACGCTCAATCTATCCTTATGTAAGCTATTAGTTACATACGTACATACATAGCTTTTCACCGCTGGGCTTACACTTCCTATAGTAGTTATGCGGTTGGGTGTATCATATGTTTTGTATAACGAAAAATTTATGCAAATATTTATACGTTTACTTCGCAGTTGCATAGAACAAATATTTCAGTCTAATTTTACAAGTTATTTTATAATACATATTTTAACGCTTCGTCAATAAGCTTAAAACTAGTTTATTGCAGTAATTGATTGTAAACAATATCAGGGAAGCAAATTATTTAGTTAGTAGCGATGATGAAATTACAAGCAATGCGAAGCGAAAGCCGCAATTGTGGACATACATATGTATGTACATATTTTATATATGAAAATTTAATAGAAGTGTTCACCACAGCAACAATTTGTAAACAATATTTGGAAATTTTTTTTTTTAAGTGCGGAAGATGCACTTACTAAATTTCTTTTCTGAGTATAAAGAATAATTATTATTTGAAGCCGCAAAAATAACCGACTAAATATGTGAGAAGTTATTATTACCTAAGTCGCAGTTTTATACATAATGTCGTTCTTAATTATGTGTATATTGGTCA